ATAGCAGTAATGAAATCTTTACATTCCCAATTAGATGCATTTAAGCCCTTATCTTCATTTTCTCGTTGTGCTGAAAGACAGGCTTGTACATATTCATCTTTAAAGACTACTTCAGTAATGTAAACAGAGATGCTGAACTTAAACATTAAAACAGTGAAAATCCAAAGAACAACTGATAGACGACGTAACAATACAGCATTTCCCTGAAAAGTAACATTAGTAACATTGAGATATATTATTTATAAAATAATAAATTACTATATAGTATTATATTTAATATTTACCTTACGAATTGCGATAGTACCAACAACTCCTATCGCAGTCATAACGAAATATACGATAGCAGAAAGTATTAAAATTATTTTATCCCTTAGATTATAATCGGAAGCTAAAAATAAAAAAAAAAAACAATTAGGATTTTTTATAATTTAGGTAATACAATAACATTTTATACTTACATGCCAAAGAAGAAAGTGAACTTAAGGTGTTTAACAACCCAAAGAACTGTTGTATTAAATGCATTCGTAAGTCATTATATTTCCTTTAATAGTACTTTCATAAAATTGAAATACTTACAAAGTAAAAGGATAAAATAATAACAACTCCCACTTGTTCTGTTATACAACCACAACAGTTTCTTAGTGGTAGTTTATTGTCATAACGTTTTTCTTCTGATACGTCAAGTACCGTAATTGTTGGGAAAGCCGATTGATCTTTCTCAGAAATGCTGTTATTATATGACATTATGATTTACAGTATATAGAGTTCTTTGGACTTCAAAGAGGTACACTATGCTACGAGCGCGTTGCGAATTAAGGAATTTAAGGAAGGTGAAAAAAAAAAATGATAACGTTATATAACTTTGGCTCGTGACAGCGTAGTAAATCGACCGGCGATTTCCTCCAAGTGTATACGTAAAAAAATAAATTTAGGGAATGTATTATATCAAAGCCATTATATACATAACGGAGATGAGCGCAGTTACCCAAATTTATCTTTAAAAGGCTATTTAATATAAATGGTGTTTCGAAACACATACAATACTCGTTTCGGGTTTGATACATTAATTAATAAAAATACTGTATTGTGTAACTTTGTGTGCTTATGAATAACGTATCATAGAGAGTATCCCAATTATAGTTACTAACACACGCATTGAGTCAGTCACGAACCCACTAGTCTTAAATAATTACGTATGTACATACGCACGCATAGCTATTTTTTAATTTTTGCTGCTTCTACAATATCTAAAGTGCTTTTCAGTAAATCACCAATATTTTTAAAGCTTGATATTGTCTGCAGAGATTTCACTAATGTATAAGAATCTTTCGCATCTGAAATCGCGATTTCTAGATCTTTTTCTAAATTAATTAATCCTCTCTGCAATAATTAATGGCGATAATTATGTGAGTAAACAGTTAAGAAAATTAAGATATTTAGAAGATATTTTTAAATAAATTAATTACCTTTTCCTCAATGATTTGTGGTACTCTTCTACGAATATGCTCACTCATGTGATATAATCCAAGTGATGAATCATTATACAATTGATTAAGAAACGCTTCTAAATCCCCACTTGCTAAAAAGGAAAGAAAAAAGGTTATATTTTTTTAAGTTTCATAATTCGTATCGAAAGTTCACCAACCTTTCTTGGCCATTTCTTTCAACAAAGTTTCTTGTGCAAGTGGATCAGCCACATTTACGCCATTATTGTGGGCCATTCTTAATAAATTCGAATCGAATGAAGAGGGAATCCAAGTTACAGAGGTAGTGCTTAGATGATGCTGGTGAATATTAAATAAATACAGAAATAGGTGTAATAATTATAGCTCACCAATCATCAATCGGTGATTGTGCAATGTGTAATTGGTGTAACTGACGAAATGGTGTAATGATGTAACGGTAACAGTAGTTGGTATAATGATAACATTATAAGGTCATAAAATTTATTGTTCCTTGTTTATATATTATTAATTAAAATATATACTTATTAAAGGCTTTTTATAAATGGACTTAAATTCGAAAAATCGATGCTTGACCATATTGATAATATTAACTTTGATCGAGAATTGTGATGAATCATAATAATAATGCAACAAAACTTATGTGTACATAGAATGTCTACTCAACAACATACTGACATAGTATGATACAATGATCAAGATATTCGTAACTGTAGAGACAAAACAATATTAATAATAAGAAATGAACTTTGCTAATCTAAATCAATCAATTGCTTTTTCCTATGCTTAAAATAAGTCTAGTAAGGTGCCACTATTGTTTTACATTTAACTATGGTTCTGACACGTATTTTAGATTTATTTTAGATTTTATTTTAGATTTATCTTAGATTTATTTAGATTAGTTTTGAGATACATACTTTAGTTCGGATTTCGCAATCATACTTTTTAATCTCGCATACTTTGATTTAGTGATTTAGTAATACATACATTCATGGCATACTTATCTTAATTCAGACTTTGCGATACGCATTTTGTTTGTTTCGCGATATATACTTTAATTCGGGTTACGTTTGTGTTACACACTTTAATTCAGGTTCACAATGAATGCTTGAACACCTTAGTAATGACAAAAGAATGTTTAGATCGTTGTCGGGAAATACAACGACTGATTAACGTAGACGTTACACGAAATTATATTCTGTTGAACCGTTGTATCGATTTCGAGTTCAACAATATATACAAACCTTTCTTTATACCTTAAAAACTCTAATCTATTGGTTTATTACATTTACTTTATTCTTGTTATTCCTTTATTTTTTTAAAATTAGAATAAAAATAATGGATTATGTAATTACTTATAAGCACCAAGAATAAATTTTTTAATATAAAATCTAAAGATTTTTATTATATGGTATCTTTTAAATTTTGTTTAATATAGAAACTAACAAAATATATTTTTTTTATTATTTCAATTAAACTTAAAAATATTAATTTAAAAAGCTATAATATTTAATAATATTATACAGTATATTTTTTTGATACTTAATATTTGTATAAAATTACTAAAAAAATAAAATTTTATTAAAAAAATAAAATTTTTTAAAATATATACTAAATCTTTTGTTTTAGAACACTAACTGTTGACTATTTCGTAGGGATGGATCAGTCCTGAAAAGACCGAATAAGGACCGGTCTTTTTAACCAGTCTTATGGTTAACTGGTCCTCGGTCCTGAGACCAGTCTGGACCGGTCCTCATGAATAATTCAAATAACTAATTAAAAGATATGTTACATAATCTTTTATTTTCAATTACCGGTGTCATATGAATTGATTTTCTCCGCTAGCAAATAAGATTAAATAATTAAGGACCGTTATTGGGACCGAGGACTGGACTGAAAACATTAATAAACCGGTCTTTTTAGGACCGGACGGATTGGACCGGACTTGTCCATCCCTACTATTTCGCTAGCTTTTAAAAGTGTTTAATATCTATTAACAAATTGGCATCAATAAAATTATTTAAAACGTACAGACAGACATTAAAATTTTAGCAGTATAGATAATATATAATGATAAATACAGTATATATATACAATTATATCTACTGTACATATACTGTATATGTATATATTTATTATTTTTGAGTTTAAACTAATTTCTTTTGTAAACTTATACAGTAATTTACTAAAATGCAATTAATACTGTATAAATAAAAATTTGAACATGGTAAATAATTAATTAATAGTTTATATATAATAAAATATTGTTATTTTTTTTTAATAAATGTACAGTATATACAATTTTTTTGATCTAAACTAATTTTTTTTATTGTTTATACAGTCTGCCCTCCATACAGTCACTTTCCATATAGTCACACCCTCTTTATAAGCACACTAATTTTTTGGAACAAACGTATATAAAACATAAGAGATTTGACCTTTATACAGGCACAATTTCTTATAAGCACATAATTTCTTGGAACCGAGGGCGTGACTGTAGAGAGGTTAGACTGTACATGTAAGCTTACATATATATGTATATCTTTTTAAAATATAGAATTAATATTAAGATTAAAAACTTTAAAAATGTTTTTATTTAAACTAACAGTATTTATCATCCGGCTTCTTATGATAAAATATGAATTAATGCATTTATAACATGCAATCTAAGTTTTGAAAGAACTGCATTTTAGTTACACTGGCAAAAAAATTCGACATGTCGAATAGTCGAATCTTAATCGAATGCTTGTCAATCGTTAGTCGAATGGATGCCATTCGAGTGTCGAATCTTATGATTTTAACTAGTTGCTACTATCCAGGGGGTAGTGATCCAAATCTCTAGTTGAAAAATCAACCAATTGACAACTTATACTCCGTCTAATCGGGCTGTTTCGTGTTGAAATCCTTGGTTTAGTTGGCTAATCACCTAATGAGATCATGTGATATCTGATATGAAAATCGACTATAGTTTGCGGGGATCTCGTATATGATCATTTACGGTACCAAAAATATAGCCACTGAAAAACTTAAAAAACAAAAAAATGCCCATTTCCACAACTCCAACTGATGCTCACTTTGATGAACTCTTGGCAGAGGGCAATCTAGAAGACTTTAATTTTGATCAATTACTTAACGATATAACTAAAGCAGAAGATGCGCTTAATGAACTTGATGGAAGGCTTGATAACTTTAATGCTAAAATTGATGCAATGTTGTTAAACAGTGACAGTTCTCAAAAAAAGTCTTATGAGAACAATGCATCGTCAAATGTCATTGAAAATTTAGACAAATCCGAAACATTAGATCCTGAAAATAAATAAATAAATATTTCCGCTATTTAAAACACATCCGCACATTATGGAGATCGTCTAACTGTGTAATAACTCATTTTTATTGCTGTATATGATTTATTTTCATTTTTATTTTACATAAAAAAAAAATCCATTCTAAAAAAAATGAATTATAATGTTACGTACATACATGTGTTCTTATAATAGTTTCATTTTACATAAAATTATTAATTGTTTTTCGTTAACACCAAACAATTATTAATTCCTCTCGATTAAATAAACTTAAAATTTTGCCAAGATCTCTTGGCTTTATAGTTTCTCGAAAAAGAATTTCTTCTACATGATGCTTACCATTAAAATATTTAGTTAACCTTATAAAAATGTAATTGTAATCAGAACATGTGAATGAACTACTTGCAAATAAAAGCTATTATTTTATTATACCTTTCAAACATTGCCACCGTTTCTCTTGGTTGATTAGCCACAAATTTATTCAACCATTCTCTTTCACTATCTGACGCTTTATCATGGGGTGATATTAGCGTTGTTTCATCCATTGCATTGGGTGACACGCCATTACCTTCACCTGATGATGCATTATATTCTTCTTGTGTAAATCCCATTTTTATGTATTGTGGTATCATGAGCAATATATATGCATGCAACTGTACAACAAGGTCATTTTTTAATAGATATGTTATGGCTTCAAGATACATTGTACGCAATTCTCTGGATACAAGTGGATTCTTAAAATATGGTTTAGGTGGGGAAAGTGAGGCGAGAATGTTTACGAGGTCAAAGTCGGCTGGGAAATGTTGCTTGAAATATTCAATATAAGTTGGTAACCTTGATTATTAAACCACTGAAGTAAGTGTCTGTAGCTTTTTTTTTTGAATAAATTATAAGATAAAAGCAATTGTCAAAACTTATGTTGCGTACACTAATCACATCAATAATTTTTGCCTTTCTCCAATAGATCAAATGTGCTGCAATTCGAAATATTTGTGCCAAAGAACAATCCACAACAGTGCATAAATCTGCCAATCTAAAAATAATAATGCGGTTCTTTCACATAATTTCAATAATTTTAGAATTCACTTAAATGTCTAAAAATACTATACCGTTGTGTAGGTGTTAATATCTGTACCAATTGTACCAATGTTAGATTCGAATCTAATGGCATGCTTCTAAGAATCTCCTCCGGATCTTCCAGAAGTAATAAAGCGTGATAAGGTGCAATTACAGGATAATGAGTATATTCATGTACTTCTATGTCATTACCGGGGGTGAATAGTGTAGTAGGTGCAAGAGGTGGAATCTGTAGTGAAAGGTCAATATAATCATTGACCATAACGTGTGCTATACTGTCTGTCGAGATGGATTCATACACTTGTCGAATAGTTCGGGCTAATGAACTTTTCTCCAATGTAATTTCCATTAATTTATCCATGGATGCAATGTCTAATTTATCTATTTATAAAATGGTGTTTAAGCTAATTATGTAGAATTTTTACCGTCGATACTGTCTCTAATTGCATATATCTCTAAATGCATAAAAAAATTTTTTGTTCTTAATTATTAACACCAAAATGGTTTTTATGCATATACTGTCTATATGCATAAAAAAGTCTCCGACGGATGGCATGCAATTAGACAGTATCGACTGTACTTAATAATAATCAACAATATATTACCATTGTTGTCCCTCAATGACATTATCAATTCGGCCTCTTTTCTAACGTACCCACATCTTTGTTGTTCATATTGCAATGCAGCCGTCAATTTAGTAATAACGTGTTTATATATGCTATCTACTTGTTTATATAATTCCAATTCAGGCGGATCAAGTACAAATACAAGATGGAAAAATGTATGCTGTTGATTCGTACTAGTCGAAGAAACTTCACTATTACCAGATGTAACACTAAAAGGTGTTTGAGTTGTTGCTTCCTCGATCGGAGGTTCTTCATAAGTCGTTAACCTTGATAATTGTTTTTGTAATTCTTCGTTCTCATCCTGGTCGGTAGAATTTTCCCCGTCACCCTTTCCAAACATAAAGAACCAACAACGGCTAATTGGGAAAGGAG